AATCTGAATCTGTATTTTTAAAGCTTTGTATTAAGCTTCACTAAAATCCATTAGTCTTTCTGCACTCTCTCAGTATGTCTCTTATCCATGCCTGGTTTTAGAACATTATAGCACATGTCCATCAGAAATACTGATTCAGTGAGTCATTCAAATACTCCATGTTTTACAGGTTTTATTATATAACAAATATTAATTCAAGTTGTTAATACCACCACTGATCTTATTAGGAAAATCTTTTAAGTAAAGCTGTGAAGCTCAACATGATGAATAAAAGGGTAAAGTCTGGCTTTTGTCCAAAAGCCTTGATTTTATCACTACAAATAAATAATGTGAGTTATTTTTCTTAAAATGACAGACTCACTTCATTTGTCTTTGAAAAAGTGTTAATTACCCGGGCCTAAATAATGATTGTTTTTCTGTTATTCTTTCAAGCAAAAATGATAGTGGCCAATTCACTTGATTCATTCAAATGATTGCACTAAGTACTATTGTAGAAATAACTATTGAACTACATATGAAGGAGTGCTTTATGCATACTAGTCATTTTATCAGTACAATATTAAAAAGATATAACTGTTTAAATCTTGACCATGACAACATTTTACTTTTTATCAAGGACGTTTTAAATGCATGCATAGGGAACCTTTTCTTTGTGTGGCAATGCAGAATACAATGAATAGTTCAGTTAGGTATCTTTGTTTTGATTTATGCCTAGAGTCTCATCTACCTATTATTATTTTGGATCCATACTGTAAATATTAACACAGTGAAAAGTTAGCATCTTAATGGCATACTGAAAATGGTTTTGACCTCACAGACCTTTGGGAGTCCACAGAACACAGTGAGCATTGCTATTGAGTACTACATAGCAATGAAGAGGATCTGTGCAAAAGGAAATGATTTGGGCTTCTACGTTTATGATACCTAAAAGGAAATGAATCGCTGCAGTTGTCATAACTAAGAAGTAGTTCTCTGTTTTTGTCAGAATAATTCTTGGGATTGGCCTCCCTATGCAGACATTCCAGCTAGAGTATGTGATTTCAGATTTAACATCAGAATGTGAGGGGATGGTATAGGGCCTTGCAGTGAGACTTCAGTGACATTCTCACATTGCCCCTCACCTTCCTGCCACCCTCAATGATAGGGTAGTCAAGTAATAGTATTAGCGGTACTAGGTTTTTGTGTACTACACTATTGCTACTCGGAGTGTGACCAATACTTGTCTGCTCACTGGTCTGAGATAAAAATACAGAAATCAAGATTAAGAGTGTAGAAACTTTAATGTCATTTAACATTGCTGGAACTTTTACATGCATATTCATATTTAGTTTTGTATGTGTATGCACTTCTTTTACAAAAGCATTGATTTACAATGAATTAAAAAATTTAAAAAGTTATCCAACTGCTATATGAAAGCCAGGACTAAAGTGATTGTGGAGACCAGTTGTAGAGATCCTAATAGAGTAAAGAATATGTTTACAGGATTTGGAGTTGTATTATCCATTACCATGTGTACCTTCTCACTGCTGTAGCCATGCTAACCTTTTAGTTCCTCAGGCACACCTAGCTCATTCCAGACTTGGAGTTTTTGCAATTGCTCTTCTTTCTACCTCCTTCTTCTCTGACCTAAGCAGTTTGAATGACTGGCTCCATTTTGTTTTGATGCCAACCATATATCATCACTTCAAGGGCCTTTTCCTGATGATGCTGTTTTAGTGTAACCCCTCTAGCCCACCCTTGCAGTCAGTGCATCACTCTATTTTGTTTCATTTTCTTCTTGGGTTAATGTCTGCCTAGTCCAAAACTTTGAGTACTTGTTTATTTCCAAGAAATAAACAAATATTTGTGAGTGAATAGATAGTGTTATTGAACTGAGTTAAGCAAATTACTTATTCAAATGGCTTTTTAGATAGAGATGGTTCCTATAAGGAAGGCTTCATACAGAAACATAGTTTTCAGCCAAAGCTATTCTCAAGGTCATCCTGAGGAGATTAATAAGAAGTAGTCCCATTAAAATTTTCAGTCAATTTATAATACTTCCAAAGTGACACCTCTCTAATGTGGATGTCCTAGAAAAGAACATTATAGTTAACATACAGTATCAATAAACGGAATTGTACTAAAGTTCTCCTTAAAAGTAATAGGGTAAAGATTACATTGCCTCTAGACCATTTTATAACATCAAAAAGGCTTGCCTTTTAATTAAAAAAAAGAAAATAAAATATTCTCCATTACGTTACATCTTGTTATGTAATCCAGACTAGCTTCAAACTCAACTACTCAGCCCTAGGTTGCCTCAAATTCACTATCCCAAATGCTGGGATTATAGGCATCCACCATCATACCTAGGTTAGAAGTTTTATTTATTTTTTCCCTCATAGTCAATGAAAGAAATTTTTCACAGTGGTTGATTGTGACAATAGGATGATATTGACAATTATAATAGGCAACTCTTACTATGGACTTACAGTGGGTTCAGGCGCTAATTTAAGAATTTTCTTAAGTTAGATACTTATCTCCATATCTCCTTTTTGTACATATAGAAGCTTGACACGGAGAGGTTAAGCAGCTTGTTCAAGATTCCATAGAAAGTAAAGCCTGAGCTGAGATTTAAATGTACATGGTTTAGTTCCAGAACCACCAGTTTTAACTACTGAATATTACTGGATAGTAGGAAAAAGAGGGATACATGGAGTGAAGTGGAATCTCAGCGTTTCCATTTGCATCTCTCGAATGACCAGTGATGTTGAACATTTTTTCATGTATTTATTTGCTATTTCTACTTCTTTGTCTGAGAAATGTCTGTTCATTTCAGATGCCCAATTTCGGATTGGGTCTTTAAATTTGGGATGTCTGATCTTTTTAAGTTCTTTATAGATTCGAGATAGTAGACCTTTGTCTGAGGAAGAGCAGGTGAAGATATTTTCTCACATTGTGGGTTGTCTCTTCACACTGCTGGTGGTTTCTCTTGCTGTGCAGAAGCCTTTTAATAAGAGATCCCATTTGTTGCTTGCTTGTGCTAGTTCACAGGCAACTGAGGTTTTGTTCATAAAATCTTTTCCTACACCGATGTCTTCAAGGGTTCTACCTAACCTCTGTTCACTCCAGAAAGAATGGCTGCTATCATAAAATCAACCAATATCAAATGCTGGCGGGGCTGTGGGGAAAAAGGAACCCTGCTCCACTGCTGGTGGGAGTGTAGACTGGTGCAACCACTGTGGAAATCAGTATGGAGATACCTCAAAGAACTAGGACTGAAAGTTCCATTTGACCCTGCTATTCCCCTGCTGGGGATCTTCCCCAAAGAATTAAAAGAATCATACCACAGTGATATATGTGTGCCCATGTTCATAGCAGCACAGTTTGTAATAGCTAAAACTTGGAAACAGCCCAAATGCTCATCAACTGGAGACTGGATAAAGAAAATGTGGTTTTTTATAAAATGGAGTACTACTCAGCCATAAAAATGAGAAATTAGAGACATTTATAGCTAAGTGGGTGCACATTGAGGCGATACTCTTAAGTGAAATAAATAGGACACACATGAATAAATACCGAATAGTTTCTCTGGTGGGAGAAGCTGAAAGTGTAAATAAGGACTAAATGTATAATAGGTCATGTGAAATAGGAAGAAAAGGGGCAAAGGGGAAGAAAGTGGGAGGGCTAGGGGAAAGGATAGAAGGAAATGGGATTAATATGAGAAAATGGAAAAATAGGAACAAAATCTTTGTGAATAGGGAGGACTGGAGGGGTTGAAGGGAGGGCTGGGCAAGGGTGAAAAATAAGAACCAAGAGAGATTATGTAAAGGTGCAAATTTCCAATGATGAATGTCCTTATATTGTATACCTAAAATGTACCATTGATTAGAATGATAATGTAAAATAGGAAGAAAAGGTCCAAAGGGGTAGGGGTAGTGGGAGGGGCAGGGGAAAGGAAAGAAGGGAAAGGAAAAATGATGAGAAATGGAAAAAATGGAAATAAAGTCTTTGTAAATAGGGAAGGGTGGAGGGCATGAAGGGAGGGCTAGGAATGGGGAAAAAATAAGAACCAAGATGCATTATGTAAAGGTACAATTCCCAGTGAGAAATGTAATTGTGTTGTATACCTACAATATACCAATAAAACAATTTTAAAAAAAAAAAGGGATACATGAACAATGGGTGAGGGGGAAGATATACTGGGCTGAGTGTAACCGTTAAAAAATCAAATTATAAATGGAAGAAATTTAAGAAAATACGTAGAAAAATTTAAATTGTGTAAGATCTGTAAGTAACTTCACTCCTGACAGGTATCAAGTCAAATATAAGAAATATACCCAGACTATAATATGTGAAAAGATATTCAGAATACAGGTTTTAAAAAAATGAGTCTAGATAAATCATTTTGTTCTAATACTGATTATTAAAGAGAGTAGAAAAATTAGAGTTGTAAGACTGATTAGAAGTGAGAAGTTGGCAGCTGATAGGATGTTTGGGAGGAGCTAAAGTTTGAAAGTAAATTCAAGGATCCTGAAGAAAATTAAGGAAATTATTTGACTGAATATTTTCTCAGTTATCAAGGGAAATTTGTAGCTAGTAAAATTCATGATGCATCCTTGAGAAATCAGTTTGTTACAAACTGGATTCTTCAAGGCATTAAAATCCTCTCAGGGAATTATTGTTGAGTATCCCTTGTTAGAGCTGGAAGAAAAAGCCAACATTCAAGAGACTTACCAGCAGAAATGCAGAGATTTTGTGAAAATTTCATGATAAAAGAAAGAGTTTTAGGGACCAAGGAGAAGTATGAGAGTCAAACATGATCTATATTTATTTTTCTTCTAGTTTAATTTTCAGGAATTTGCCTGGATCTTGACCTAATCCACTTTAACATTCAACTTTATGATTATAAAGTTTTTAGAATTTAAAATTTCATTATTTCACCAATAAATAAAATATGATACCACAAGAAAATAGTCTCCACTGTGCTACGTATAATCTAAAATATTTTATTTTGTTTCCAGGGAACCTTTCATTATTTTATCAGGAGGTTTGTCATATGACACTGTAGGAAGAAGACCTTGCTTAACAGTGATGCATGGGAAAAGTACTGCTGTGCTAGAAATGGACTATTCAATTGTTGATTTTCTAACACTGTGTGAAACACCATACCCAAATGGTACGTTTTGCATCTCTAAACCTCACTTTCCATAAATATTAATATTTCAGAACAAAGACCTGTATTTTGTCTTAAGTGTTTTCTTTATCCTACCATGCAAATTCTTCTGGGGAAGAGATGCTACCTTCATAATCTTGGAAATTTCATGTTATGTTTGTTTTATTTAATAAACTTAATTTATTTAGTAATTAGATATTAGTAGTGTCTTTGAAAGATAAACACTATCCACATTAAGAGACATTTAAAAATTCTATAAAACATTAGTGCAAAAAGAAAAAAAAAATAGTGCATTAGATTGCTCAGGGTTGTTCATAAAAGCTGAACCAGTAGGAGATATATACCATAATTTCCCCAAAATAAGACTCAGTCTTGTATTAATTTTTGCCCCAAAAGTTGCAGTAGGGCTTATTTTGAGGGAATGTCTTATCTTTCATGTACAACAGTGTATATTAATACATGTACAAAACCCTACATTTATTCAAATTACAGTCACATCATCATCTTCTAGAACATCATCATAATTCTACAAATCCAAATTCTGGCCTGAATTTCTTGCTCCTCCATTTTCTGTACATCCATTGGCCAAAATCTCTTATGTCCAGCAATAGAGCTTTGTTTCAGTGAGAACTTCTTGTCCATGTAGCCTGCTTGTAGTACATTGTTACAATATACGATATATTGAATTATAGAGATTCATATTAGTCACAACCATGTCCATTTGTTATCAAGGCGCACATTACTTGTGCGTTGTGGTCCTACTCCAATTAGTCCTTCAACAGTAAGTCTTCAGTTGACATAGGTGTTTACCTCTTATCCAAAGGTTCCTGCTTGGGTATTTACAAACTTAATTATAATTTATATTATTATTTATTTTAAGTATTAATGTCAATAATATTTATATTTAGTTATATTTTATTATTCAGTGCATTCAGCATGTGTTGCAGTAGACATACTAAATTCATCTGTTTGGCTGATAGTCTTAACTGGGGTTTACTTTTGGAGTATGGCTTATAAGCATCCTGAAAAAAAATGACAGTAGGGCTTATTTTATAGTTAGGTCTTATTTTGGGGGAAATACAGTAAATACCTATTTTTACATGTCTTTATCAGTGAGTTCCTTCATATATACATCTGAAGGAATTGTGGAGCAAGCAAGTCTGAAATCTTTAGAGCACACCAGTGGACTAGAAATTCAATAAAGAATTAAAGTCTTGGATTCAAAATCTGCAGGTTGGAATCTCAGGCAGGATTCCTGTATTTTAATCTTGAGGCTAACTTGCTTTTGTTGAGGGAAACCTCAGTCTGTGCCCCTAAGGCCTTCATCTGATGGGATGAGGCCCACCCATTCAGAGGGTAATCTGCTTTACTCAAGAGTTTACTGACTTAAATGATAATAATACCAAAACAACAACAACAACAAAAACCTTCACAGCAATGCAGTACTATAGCATTGACACAAAATTAGCCATCACAGTTTGAATATGTAATTCAAGAAGAATTTATGTATATCTTATATATCTTTTTTACTTCATTTGAAACTATTTGAGGTGTAAAGATGTAGAATTTTATAAATGTTAACAGGCACATAAAAAACATTTAAGAAAGATACATTGTTATAGAAGAACTCTGTTCAGTTAGTCTGAGATCTAGTAATGGTAATTGTTCTATTTAAAGTTTGGTTTTGTTATCCATATTCATCCTTGGGTTTGTAATACCATGGAAGTTACTGTGGTCTTCTTGTCCTATTCATCTTTACAAAAGTGAAAGAATTTTGTCTGAATTAAGTGAATATATCTCATCTAAAATATAAGCTTTAAATTTACATGAAATATTGAATTATTTTTACAAAATAAAATATAAAACAAATAAATGTTCATTCTCTAATTTGCTGTTCTCTTGAATATTTAAAATTACTGTTCACACATTGTTCTTATATTCCAGATTTTCAAGAACCATATGCTGTCGTGGTTCTTCTAGAAAAGGATTTAGTACTTATAGATCTTGCACAAAATGGGTAAGAATTTCTTCAGTCTGTGGTAAAAAAAAAAAAAAGAAGGTATCTTTTATCATACGATTAGCTATATCATTTCTTTGAGAAGTCTACATTTATGTCCATAGCCTTGCTCTCATTTTAAAGCTCCTGACTCACCATTCTAATTACTTGCTAAATTGTTCTATTATGACAAATTTCATAGTATTTTCGTTTAAGTCAAATTTAGTTGAATTTCTGACATTTTCTTGTTTCAACTTCATGCTTGTATATCGTAAGGCCACACAAAATCAGTATGTCCAAAGTTGATCCTATTATAGTTTACCTCTAAATGAGTCTTCTGACAATATGCCATTGTCAGATTAATTTTCTGTGCACTACTAGCCCTGTTGTTCTTCTGATTACAGGTGTAGTAGAATCATGGAAATAAGGAAAGACGTGTTATAGAGAGTTGCCTGACTTTCTGTTATTGCAGTTTTGTTTATCTTTGTTTTGACTGTTTGTGGCTAAAGGTGATAATAGCTGGGTTCATTTTGCAGTCTATAAAGAACTTTTCTGAAATTTCTCTCCTGATCAATATATTTAATATTTACAGATTAACAGTTTTGTAGTTTTTTTAGATACTTTAATCAGTTTCTGATTTTGCAGACACTTTAAAGCAAGTATTCTCATTCTAAGGAATGTTACTATATTGTATAGTTTTAATTTTATGATCTTAAAAGCATTTTGCTTTATTAAAATAATTTCATATCTAAAAAACATTTAAGGTGGAATTACATTTTAGATTATCATTGAAACAAGGTAACATTCTGGACTTAATGTTGGCCTCGGTAATACACTGATGGAGAAAAAAAGAATTGAAATTTTATATTGATGTTGATGTAAGGATGAGGTTCCCATTATTGAGAACCGTATAGCTTAATAATGATGAGCACAGTTTAAATTCTGATTCAGCTGCTTCCTAGATGACATGCCTTTGACACATTACTCTTTGCTTTTGTTTGTCAGGATAATGTCTGCATCATAACTTTGGAACAAGAAGTAAATAAGACACATCTGTAAATAGCACTTAGTCTGTATCATAACTTTGATGCAAGTAAATGAAATATACTATAAATAGCACTTAGTCTAGGATAACACATTGTATATAGTTGGAACCACAGCCTTTATTGTTATAATCGAGCATCTTTTATTATAAAATACCTCAATTTTAATGTATATACATAAATCAATTTAATATATGTGATGTATATTTTAAAAGTTTTTTGTTGTGTATTATTTAATGATAATCCATTAAATTAATGTTTTTGTTTTCTGTGTTAAAGATATCCTATATTTGAAAATCCCTACCCTTTGAGTATACATGAGTCCCCGGTTACATGTTGCGAATACTTTGCTGATTGCCCTGTTGACCTTATTCCTGCACTTTATTCTGTTGGAGCTAGACAGAAACGTCAAGGTTATAGCAAAAAGGTATTGAACATGAGTTTTATTATTTAATGTTACATTTTCGTATTTTAAATTTATTACCTTGGGATGTTTAATAACATTGATAGCTTTTCTGTAGAAAGTATATGGAAAATCATTTTTGGAAGTAAAATACATTGGTTACTGTTTCCATATATGTATTATATATAACGTATAGATTATATGTACATTGCAAACTGCTTTATACAATGATCTTTTCTTATAGGAATGGCCCATCAATGGAGGTAATTGGGGTTTGGGTGCTCAAAGTTACCCAGAAATAATTATTACAGGGTAAGTAAAAGTCTCTTTTCACCCATTAAATCAGTAATAACTAAATATGGTTGATTAAGATTACATGACTTTTTACTTATAGGGCCAGTAGAGCTTTTCTTCATGTTACAGTACAATAAGAAATGAGTTATTGTCAAGAACCTACCAGTTTACTAGTTTTTACCTTTTTTCTCATTTTGGTGCTATCGTAAAAATAACAACATACATTTAAAGAAGGAAAAAATTAACTATTTTTTTCTTTTCTTCATCACATTCTTAACTCCTTTGCTTTGTGTAGACATGCCGATGGTTCAGTTAAGTTCTGGGATGCTTCTGCAAGTAAGTAATTTGAATATTTATTGTTTGTTTTATGTTAAGCCATGATAGCTTTTGTACATCTTGTTTTACAGTAATTAATCAACATTTAATTTGAAATTTGTAGGCTGTAAATTTAATTTACTGACTTATGAAGTATATATATATCTTAAGTTTTTAAGGGTAAAATATTTTCAGAGATATTAGTATATCAAGAATAATTCACAGCAGCAGTATTCCAATTCTTTCTTCAAAATAGCTTTAAATCTCTTCCTAACTCAGAGATGAGAAGTGGGAATGGATTCCAAATCAACAGAAAGTTCTAAAGTAATTTTAATGCCTGTTTCTAAACTGGTAAAAGTTTGTAATGTCTTTGTGAAAATCCCTGGTGGTTACATAGTAACAGAGTGCCTTATGATTAATGTTTGCAGAACATACATGACAAACTTTCATGGGAATTCAATTAACTCCAGATGCGTTGTTTAATCATGTAGAGTTTCTGATAACACTGGTATCATTTTTTCAGAAAATATGTAGAAAATCACTTTAGGAAGCAAAATATGTCCCCTATTAGTTTTGATGTATTTATACATTTTTCCCAAAATCTTTGTTACTCCTTTTTTTTTTTAAGTTATCTAAACCCATCATGATGGTGGATTTTTTTTTAAATGAATACAATGAATGCATCCTTTTTGGCCAGTGAGCAAATATATACATTATCTAAATGTACAATAGGCTACTTTAAGGTAGACTGAGAAATGAACATCTGGTTTAGATAAATATAGGATATTTTCCTTACATAATATGACTGATTAAACATGTTTGATCATTTTGTACTAAAATATCTAACATATGTTATCTTTTTTCTAGTAATGCTACAAGTATTATATAAATTAAAAACATCTAAAGTATTTGAAAAGTCAAGAAATAAAGAAGACAGACCGAACACAGATATTGTAGATGAAGATCCATATGCTATTCAGATCATTTCCTGGTGTCCAGAAAGTAGAATGTTATGCATAGCTGGAGTTTCAGCCCATGTCATTATTTATAGATTCAGCAAACAAGAAGTGGTTACAGAAGTTATTCCAGTAATGATCTCTTAATTATGTTTTGTGTCAAGTGTCCTGTTATTTTCAATTTGTGCTTCATTTAGAAGACTATTTACAATCAGTTTTGTATAGGAATTTTGAAAAGACCTCAGTATTTAAATTTCCATCTATTTTTTGAAAAATAGCATTTATTGGTAAATCTTTTAACTGATTAAGTAAATCCTTAAGTGCATTGTAAGTTTTATTTAAGCAAAACAAATATAAATATGAGTATACTCTAATTTTGGATTGCTACAAATTGTAAAATCATGAGGTGTGTGTGTTTTTGTGTATAATTCCCACATACACACATTTTTTACAAAGCTGAATCAGGAAACATTTTTTATTTACCTTTGGAAATCTTGTTAAATTTTTAAGTATAAAAATTTTAGGAGCCAGGGATTTAGCTCAGTGGTGTTGCACGCGCCTCATAAGTGCAAGGTCCTGAGTTTGATCCCTGGTACCGAGAGGGAAAAAAAAATGTAGTTATGTATATATATAATTAAAGTAAAATGATTACTAGCTATCAGAAATAAGTCAGCTGGCTTACTTTTTTTCAAGATGCTTGAAGTTCGATTGTTATATGAGATAAATGAAGTGGAATCTCCAGAGAGTGAGCAGCCACCACCTTTGTCAACACCTGTGGGAGCCTGCAGTCCTCAGCCCATTCCTCCTCAGTCCCATCCATCCACCAGTAGCAGTTCATCTGATGGGCTTCGTGATAATGTACCTTGTTTAAAGTAAGTTATAACAAGGGAAATTATAGTTGTTTGCATGTTATCTTTTAATTTAAATAAATTATAAGCATCAGTAAGCTGCAATAATATTTTACAGTAAGGGAGTAAACCGGCATAAGAATCCTGTGTTTGACTGTGGCTAATCTCTTTGTTTTTAGTGGCATGAAAGAAGTATGATTGCATTCCATGATTTTATCCTTGAAATACTAGGACTTGATCTCCAAACCTAAGTAGTATATGTTACTCAATGTTCTAAATCCATCAATGCTTATAATCTGGATTTGTATGTAGATTAGATTTATACTCAGACTACTTTGTACCACTCTGAAAATTCCATTTTTTTAGTCTTTAAATTTTTTTTTCCCCCATTAACTTTATTGGTACATTTTAGATATAAAATACAGTTACAGTCATCATTGGGATCTTGTACCATTACATGAGTCTCTTGGTTCTTACTTTTTTTCCCCTTCCCTTCTCTCCCTTCACCCCCTCCACCCTTCCCTATTTGGAAAGACCTTGTTTCCATTTTTTTCCTCTTCTCATATGTTTTCCTTTCCCTTTTTTCCCTTCCCCTACCCCTCCCAATTCCCCTGCTCTTTTAGAC